TTCGGATTTGGATTTGGATTTGGTCAAAGATCGATTGATTGATTAATCTTTTTGGACAAAATTTATTTCAATTATTTAATTAATTAACGAAAATTCAATCCGGAATAACCCATGACCCGCGACTCGATCCGGTCCGATTGCAAACCTTTTCAGAAACAGTGCCAAATGGTCTATAAATATGCCTTGAATCCCAAGATCTTTACTTACTAAATTTTCTGATTATCTTCTTCGTCTTCTGCACAATATTTTCTAGTGTGTTTTGCGACCATTGAGTGGTTCGAAGTTCACCGGAGTTTTTGGTACCAATACGCTGGTGAGTTAAATCGTTCTATCCTGGGAGGATAATATTCCAACACCTTGGGTAAATGAGGGGAATAAGGACACGCTGTGCATTCGGTGGGCTCGATTTATTCCAATATTATTTTTTCAGAATTTATTTCGTGCAACTGATTCTACTAACTTTCTGTTTCTATTTGTATTTCAGAAAGTTTAACGATTTTTATTGTTTATTACAGTAATACAGAGTGAATAATAGATACACCAAAGCATAATTTCCTAGGCATCACATTCGACTAAACCCGAACTATCAAAATGTTGAACAAACTAGGGAAAGCAAAAACGTAAACTCATAATTTCAGCAATATCTAGCATTGACATAACCTCAAAAAATCGGAGAAACTGCAGCTACAAACTAACCTGCTAAATCACGCACAACACCCCATACTTTACTCCAACCACAAGAAAGAAAGACATCTCTATCTATATTGTATTTTCAAATCTCATGTGCAAACTTAAACCAAGATGATGCCCTAACCCGAGTGGAAGCACCCACCAAACCTCTCAACCACTTTTCAGGCATGGCAAGATCTTGTTCGCTTTAAATTTTCAAATCTTTAGATAGCACATAAGTAGGAGGAAGAACTTTACCATTCCAAACAAACTCGTTTCTCACGGCTCAAATTTTTTAAAGGACTTCACAAGTCTGCCGAGTCTTCAAAGAATCTAAGGTATTAACAACATAACTAAGGAACTTAGCCATACTACTCATATTGCCATGTCGCCCAGACATCTCCCAAATTATCGCAATCGAGTAATTCTTGTTTTCCATTTTCTATCAAGCCAAAAATAAATGACACCATGCTTGAAGATTAATGCCTTTAGTTAATAGATTGGACTTATAAGCAAAATATTCCGAGCTAATCTCCAAAACAAATCTTTAATCTTGGAAGACACTGTTAAAACTCGATCAACGAACAAATCACTGAAGTTTATTCTAAGCTCATAGTGAGATTAGAGAGAGAGAGACGAAAGTTTCTCGGTTTCTATTTTGCTCAAAGTCAGAGGAAAAATAAAATATCTGTCTACCAAATATTTTTGTCTTCTATCTATAAATGGGCCATCCCACTACTTACACTACAACTAGAATAAATACATTGTGGGCTTCGGGGCCCAATAGTAAAAGAAAGAAAAATAGCCCAATTTGTTAAGTAATATCATCATCTTGTATCTCAATACCTCCCGACAAGTTGGAGGATGAGATAACCCCTAACTTGCGAAGATGCAGATGATGAATAGCTCCCCCCAACGGTTTAGTGAACATATCAGCAAGCTGATTGGCACTGGAAGTGTGAAGCAGCTGAAGTAAACCTTCATTCAACTTGGTGCGAACAAAGTGGCAATCCAATTCAATGTGCTTTCTGCGCTCATGGAAGACAAAGTTCTTAGCAATATAGATGGCTGCCTGGTTATCACAAAACAGAGTAACAGGAGAAGAAAAAACAACACCAAAATCATAAAGAAGCCTGCAAACCCAAGTGATTTCAGCAGTGGCCTTACTCATAGACCTGTATTCGATTTCTGCAAATGACAAAGAGACTACAGATTGCTTCTTGGACTTCCAGCCGACTAGACAACCCCTTAATAGAAGGCAAAAACCACTAATGGACTTCTTACTATCTGGTCAAGAACCCCAATCACTATCACAATATACACTGAAAGAAAGATCGAGAGAATTATTGTAGAAAACCCCAAAATCAAGAGTACCATTGAGATAACTGAGTAAACGTAAAACAACCTGCATGTAAGGAAGGCAAGGCTTCTGCATAAATTGACTTAAATGTTGCACTGCAAAGCAAATATCAAGTCTTGTACGGGTTAAGAAATTAAGTTTACCCACTAAACACCTATAAGACTCGGGATTGGGCAGAGGATCACCATGATCAGCCTGCAGCTTGTCATGCATTACAATGGGGGATATAACTGAAGAACAATCATATGAGTGGAACTCTTTGAGAAGATTATGCACAAATTTTTTCTGATGCAGCAACATCCTACCCTCAGAATACAACACTTCATTACCCATAAAGTAGTTAAGATGGCCCAAATCTTTAATCTTAAATTGATCGTGGAGAAAGTTTTTCACAGCAGCGATCTCACACACATATGTCCCAGTGATGATGATATCATCAACATAGACCACTAAGAGTACTAAAGCATCACCAGAACCCTTAGTAAAAAGTGAATAATCATTGAAAGAGTGTGCATAATCTCTAGAGGACAAAAACTGAGACAACTTTGCATATCATTACCTTGAAGCTTGTCTCAAACTATACAATTTTTTTTTCAGTTTACAGACCAAAGGAGTGGAAATAGAAGCAGCAGATGTAGTAGATACAGAAAGACCAGGTGGGAGCTTCATAAAAACCTTTTTAGCTAAGTCCCCATGTAAGAAAGCATTATTAACATCTAGTTGGAATATTGGCCAATTTTTTTTAACAACTACAACAATTAAGGTTTTAACAATAGACATTTTAACCACAAGTGAGAAGGTTTCATGGAAATCTATGCCTTCAAATTGTGTATCACCCCTAACTACAAACCTAGCTTTATATCTTTTTATACTCCCATCAGCTTTGCACTTAATTTTGTATACCCATTTGCAGCCAATTGGCTTCTTGACTTTGGGTAACTCAACTATATACCAAGTACGATTAGTCTTCAATGCCTCAAACTATTTTCTCATAGCAGTCTGCCACTCAGGGATAGTTGCTGCCTGAGAGTAAGTAGTAGGCTCAAATGCATGATGCTCACTAGAAGTAGACATAACAGTTGAATTAGCAGACCTGGAGCTAGGATTAGGTAAATTGCAGACATAATTATGTAAATAAGAAGGAAGGTTGTGAGGCCTAGATGATCTCCTTAAAGGAGAAAAATCAGATTCAGGAAAAGAAAGAGGGAGATTAGAGGAAATAAGAGAGTTGTTCAGAGATAGTTCAGAATCATAAGGAGCAGGACTAGAGGGAGGAGGAGAAACAGGAGATGCAACTGATGGGGCAGGGTAAAATAGATCATGGGACAGTGAGGAATGTTGTTTAACAAAGTGACCAAAACAGGCAGAAAATGGTAAATTTGACATGGTAAGGGAAGAAGATCCAGATTTAACAAAAGGAAAGACATGTTCATGAAATATAACATCTCTCGAGAAAAGACAGACTTTATTCTGTAAATCATACAGCTTATAGCCTTTCTTCTCAAAGGCATAACAAATGAACACACAAGGAATGGCCCTAGGCTGTAGTTTGCCCCTATGAGGTTTTGGAAGAGTAGAGTAACATAAGCATCCAAAAGCTCTAAGATTTGAGTATGTGGGGAGTTTGTTATATAAGATCTCATAGGGACTCTTGTTCTTTAACACAATAGAAGGGAACCTATTTATCAAGTAGGTGGCTGTGAGTATGCAGTCTCCCCAAAATCTAAGAGGAAGACCAGATTGAAAAAGAAGAGCTCTAGCAGTTTTCAAAAAATATTTGTGTTTTCTCTCCACAACTCTATTTTGTTGTAGAGTGTAAGGACATGTTGTCTGATGCAATATCCCTTTTCTCAGAAAAGAATTTTGATCCAAGAGTGTTGGATCCCAACTCTAAGGCATTATCACTTCTTACACGCTGGACTTTCAATTGGAATTGAGTTTCAGTCATGGCAATGAAAGCTTTTAAGAAGTCAAAAGCATTGCTTTTGGCTCCCATTAGGTGGGTCCAAGTGGCTCTTGAATTGTCATCAACAATGGTTATAAAGTATTTGGAGCCAGTATAGGTATGGGAGTGATATAGACCCCAAGTGTCAATGTGAATCAGCTGAAAGGGCTTTGTGGATTGTATACTACTATCAGGAAATAGTAATCTTGTTTGTCTGGCTAGTGGACATATTGGACAAGAAAAATTTTGTTTGGAAGCTAACTGTGAACCAAACATAGAGATATGTTTCATTCTAGAAAAAGGAATATGCCCAAGCCTATAATGCCAAACGACATCCATTTTATTGATATTATTCAGAATTGCATTAGTATTTATATGTGTTTCATCAGCATCAGCAATATTTACATTCTTTGCATTGTCTTGTATCTCAGGGAAAACACAAACAGGAGAAATAACATGGGGAACAACAGGGGAAATAACACTAGAAGAGTAACTGGATGCAGTACTGGGAGAAGCAACAGGAGGAAGTAGGAGCTTGTAGAGATTGTGGTCCAGTTTACCAAGAACTAGAGGCATCTTCAGAGAAGGGGCATGTATAGTATAAAGAGTTCTGGTAAACAGAACAATCCCATTGTATTATTCTAACAGCTTATGAACTGAAATAAGATTGTGTTGAAAAGAAGGAACATAAAGAACATGATGAATTGTGAAATTTGGAAACAAAGTCAAAGATCTTACTAAATGAACGTTGACTTTATAACCATTTGGTAGAGAAACTAGACAATGTATAGGTAGTGTCTTCAGATTAAACAGTGAGTCCTTATGAGAAATCATGTAGTCAGAAGCTCCGAAGTCTCTTATCCAAACAAAACTATCTACTTGTGAAAGCATGCATGACTTGAGCAGAATACTTTCTGATAACAGCTTGCCAGCAAAGTTAGCAAAAGCCATTAGAGTGGGAGTAGAGGAGGAATCAGCAGATACATAAGATTGTTGCAGTAACATCATCAGTTGGGAGAATTGATCTTGTGTCAAACCAGGAACCATTGAAGCATTTCTAGACTCAGATGACTTGACATAATCAGGAACCACATTAGTAAGAGGAGAATGAGAGTTCACTTCAACGTGAGTTGCAGTTTTCTTACTGCCAAGCCCTTTTGTGAACTTAAAATTTGAAGGATACCCATATAGCTTGTAGCACTTGTCAATAGTGTGACCTGGTTTCTTACAATATTTACATGTAAGAGGTCTTTGAGCATCAAAATTGACTCTGGAAGGAAAACCCTGCTTAGACACCCCAGCATTGAAAGATGCAGATGTAGGGAGAAACTGAGGAGAGGTAGAAACCTGCCTCTACTTCTCATATGACAATAATATACTATAGACAGTGCTCATAGATGGAAAAGGCTTAATCATGAATATATTGATTCTAGTTTGCACATATATATCATTGAAACCTATCAAAAATTGATACACCTTTTGAACATCATCATCTTTTTGATAATCAGATTTGAAACCACAATTGCTACAAGACCTGACTCTACTAATTGACAAGCCATCAATTTCATCCCACAATTGCTTGATTTTGCTGAAATATGAAGCAATATCAAGTGATCCTTGTGAGGTGTGAGCAAAGCTCAAATACCCTTGACCATATCTTTCCTCCAACTCACTCCAAATATCTTTTGCAAGTTCAGAGTACTCAACACTACGAGCAATGTCTTTGGACAGGGAGTTGGTTAACCAAGAGACAACCAAATCATTACACCTCAGCCGCTATCTCGCCAAGGGAGAACTGTCAGGAGGCTTAACTGAAGATCCATTAATGAAATCTAGTTTATTTCTAACAGATAAGGCCACAAGGATGGTTCGTCTCCAACTCCCATACCCAGTACCATCAAAAGGTACAGAAACTAAAGAAAATCCTAAAACATCAGACGGATGCACATAAAAAGGATTACATGGATGCGTATAATCATCTTCATCCTCATGAAAGACAGAACGAGAAGCAGGAGAAGGAATAGTTAGTAATGCAGATGTGGAATCATCATTATTCGGCATTTTGTACATAATTAATCAGGAAAAGATGCACACACAAACAAGCAATGAGGAGAGATAACTAGGGTTACCAAATTTCCTTCGTGACCGGAAGAAACAACGGCCTTGTAAGAAAAAATAGTCAGAAGGACGAGCAAAGCCTAGCTGAATGAGCAAAAATGCAGAAACCACCAAACCCTAGGTTGAGGAAGACACCTAAGATAATATCAAAAATAAGTTCGATCAATCATTGGGAACATTCAAGTGCTAGTAGAAAGGCACTGATTTCCGTCGTCAACACCGAAAAAGAAACTCAAAACACCGACGAAAAACTCGTCGGAAAAACTCAGAAACGCGAAGAAACAGCAGAACCTCAAAACTCCGATGAAAATGTGTGAGGGTAACATCGGACGAGAGATAATTATCCGATCTATCTAGATCTGGGCTCTGATACCATGTTAAAACTCGTTCAACGAACAAATCACTGAAGTTTATTCTGAGCTCATAGTGAGATTAGAGAGAGAGAGAGAGAGAGAGAGAGAGAGAGAGAGAGAGAGAGAGAGATTTCTCGATTTCTATTTTGCTCAAAGTCATAGGAAAAATGAAATATCTGTCTACCAAATATTTTTGTCTTCTATCTATAAATGGGTCAGCCCACTACTTATATTACAACTAGAATAAATATATTGTGGGCTTCGGGGCTCAATAGTAAAAGAAAGAAAAACATCCCAATTTGTTAAGTAATATCATCGTCTTGTATCTCAATAGACACTTCAAGTGCCAAAACTTCTTCTTGTCGATAAAAAGCCCCGTGAAAGCTTAAAGCCTGAGAGAGAGAGTAACAAAAATTATAAGCTGATTTAACCATGTAAGTTGTGAAATGACAAATTAAATTGATCAATAGGTTAATTCCATGTGCCCTCCCACCGTTCACATGTGTGGTTGGTAAACAAGGATCGATTTTTTAGCAATATATTGTCAAATATTCAATATGATTCCACATGATCTAGTTTCGTTCAAGTAATGAATTCTAGCCAACTGAAAGGATCTTCTAATCAATCCAAAGATCATTTGGATTCCATTAGTAATGAGGATTCGAAATATCACACATTGATTAATCAAAGAGAGATTCAACAACGAAAAGAAAGATTAGGCGATAAAGAATAAAGAAAGAAAGCTATAAGGAAAGATCCCAGACGTAGCTCGCTCCAGGTGGATTCACTTGAATAGGAAGTTGAATAGTGAACTTTAAGAGAAGCCTTCTAACCCGTTTTAAAGCGTTGAAGAGAGAGATACAACTAGCCTCCTCTCTTATACTAGTTGGAGTACTACAAATTATTTTTGCTTCATATTATATGGCCACTGAGACGTGGATTTTAAGAAAGAATTATAAAAGTTTTTGTTACAGAGTCAAAGATATTTTTAGAATTTGTGATTTTAAATTATATATGCATGGCTATTAAAGCATATCATTAAAATCAAGAAAAATTCAAATTATTGAGTTTCAAGTGTAGGAAATTGTTATTCTATCGAAAAATACTAGATTACATCATTAGCTGCTTTTATGTTATCTATAGGTAAAAACTTAACAGAACTCAGACGCCTTAATTATATGTTACTACTACTAATATCAATGTAGACATTAATATAGAGATCATTTTTCTCATACTCAAATTAAACGACCCTTGGAGATAGCCAGCTGTCCAAAATCATTCTATAATTTTCTCCAATATTCAATTTGACCATAAACATTGACGAATGATGATCAATCCGCATTCTTACATTGTGATCCGTTTATTTTACTTTTATAATAACACTGACGTCCATTTTTGTTATAGTGCTAGCTAGGAAACAAAATCATGCAATCCATTGACTTTAGTTTGTGTAGAGTAATTTTAAAAAATATTCCCTCCGTTTCATGAGGTATTTTGATTCGATACGAAGTTTAAGGAAAAAAAAAAAACTTTTAAAATTTGTGGTCTTAAAAGTTTAAGGGGTAAAAGCTTTGTGGGGCCATAACATTTTTATGGTTATAAAAGCTTCTCATTAAGGGTAAAATGGGTAAAATGAAGAGTTAAAATTAAATTATTTCCAAATATAGAAATATGTCATTTATTTTGGAACAGACTAAAATAAAAAATACTTCATCTAATTTGAAACGAAGGGAGTAACAACTAGTTGGGCGTGCTATAAATAGTGAATAATATAATGATTGCATTATACGTCAGACGCAAATGATTAAAAAATGCATTCAAAGTTAAAAAAAAAAAAAAACAGATAAATGGTGGTCCGATCCTGAAATTGCAGGCTACACTTTCAAGAATTGGTCTAAAGAACGCAATAATACATATACACGGTTATTCTAATTTTTACTAAAATAGTCTCTAGAGTTGAGTATGTTAAGTACACGAGCTGAACCAAACAATGACTATATAGTAACGAGTTATTAAACTTGAGGGGTCCCTAGATTTCTGTGTTTCTGACTAGTAATAAAGTGTTGAAGGGGTAAGATCTTTTGAATTAGAAAGGTAAAAGTATAGTCTGAATTTGCCAAATAAGTTTTTTGCCAAATAAGTTATACATCTAATATCAGCCTAAAAGAGGGTGGAATAGAAGGAATCAATTCTTTTTTTTAGTAGAATATGTTGTCATGTCAGAAAAGCACCTCTTTGTTATAAGCAAAGGGAATTACTTTTGTGAACAAAACCTTTCTCATTCTTTATTCGGCTTGAAACCAAATATAACCAGATATTAAAAGGCAAAAAGAAACAAGTAACAATGTGTTTCTTTTTTCCATTTCCTGTTTAGGTACTTTACTTTCCTTTATTTAATCCAAACAAACTTGCGCATCACTCGTTTTTATTGTATGAAAAGAATATATGATAAGTGGAGTTTTCTGTGTCACATAGCTTAGCTAGGGTCAAATACAACAGCCAGCAGTAGAAATGTAAAGCATATAACAATAGGCAATGGCTTTTAGGTTTTCAAAACGGGGAAGGTTCAAATATATCCATATATTTTCAAAAATGGTCTAAGAATACCTCTCGTTATACTATTGGGTTATCTATACCCTGCAGTCAATACTTTGGGTTCAAATATAGCCCTCATTTAAACGGAGGGATATGTGTTATCGTCCTATTGACCAATTCTAAATATCTCCTAATTAATTAAAAAGACTCATTACCCATACCCGAAAAATATTTTTCTAAAGCAATTTTTTTGTAAAAACTGGAAAAAAGTAATTTTTTTTTACTAAAAACTGAAAAAACAAAAATATTTTTTTTCCAGTTTTTACAAAAAAACTGCTTTAAAAAAAGTGAAAAATATTTTCTAAAACAATGTTTTTGTAAAAACTGGAAAAAAAATATTTTTGTTTTTTCAGTTTTTAGTAAAAAAAAATTACTTTTTTCCAGTTTTTACAAAAAAACTGCTTTAAAAAAAGTGAAAAATATTTTCTAAAACAATGTTTTTGTAAAAACTGGAAAAAAAGTTAAAAAATAATTTTCTAAAGCAATTAAAAACTGGAAAAAACTGAATTTTTTTTAACTAAAAACTGAAAAAAAGAAAATATTTGTTTTTTCAGTTTTTACAAAAATATTACTTTAGAAAATTACTTTTCAGTGTTTGTTTTTAGTTTTTACAAAACAAATTGCTTTAGAAATTATTTTTCAGTTTTTTTTAAAGCAATATTTTTCCAAAAACTGGAAAAAAATATTTTTGATTTTTTCAGTTTTTAGTAAAAAAAACAATAAGTTTTTTCCAGTTTTTACAAAAATATTACTTTAGATAATTGCTTTTCAGTTTTTTTAAAGCAGTTTTTTTGTAAAAATTGGAAAAAAAATATTTTCGTTTTTTTCAGTTTTTAGTAAAATTATTTTTAGTTTTTTTCAGTTTTTACAAAAATAAATTGATTTAGAAAATTATTTTTTGGGTATAGGTAATGAGTCTTTTTAATTAATTAGGAGATATTTAGAATTTGGCAACAGGACGATGACACGTATCCCTCCATTTAAACGAGGGGTATATTTGAACCCAAAGTATGACTGTAAGGATATAAATAACCCAATAGTATAACGAGAGATATTTTTAGATCATTTTTAAAATTGCATGAATATATTTGGACTTTGCCGTTTTCAAAATAAGGAAAGGAGTAGATACTGATAGACTTTCACTTTTCTGCTATACTCATCTTTTTCTTAGCAAGCGTCCAAATAGACTAAAGAAGTACATAGATAAAAAAAAAAGTCTTGCACCAAATTTAATCAGTTTAATTTGGTGTAAAAGTATATTCACCCACAATCGTTAGTTTTTGTGTTTGAGTCATACTGGAGAGGAAATGTGAAACATTATATATATTCCTATTTTTTTAAAAATGGATTTTGGTAAATAAAAAAAAGATATTCTTGAACAAATATCACTTACTTTAAAGTTTAAATTGGTGAATTTCTAAACGGAATATTCCTTAACGGACGTCAATATCGTCTATGATAATAAGACCGCGGTTGGTTCGTAAGAGGAGTAAAAGCGTCAGTAGAGAGAAGTGGACCAAGCACAAGGGATGAGACAAAACAATGGACCTTTTATGAATTTTGAAGATTGTGCAGGGGTAAAAAAGGGAAAACAGTAACCGAGGCCAAAACGCATCACTTTGGTCCCTGGATATTAGAATTTACAACACATTATAATATCATCCTAAATTTATGATCTAGTGTACTATTGCTTAACTTGGTTGACCAATGGGATATCTTGCTGGCTTTTCTTACTAGGCAATTTGATTTTAATTTTTGTCTATTGCTTCCGATTATGAGATAATTGCACATGTTGCTATCTCGTGCACTCAAATTACAAATTTTATTTAAGTAAAAACGAAATGACAGAATAAATAACAATATCATGTTATAAAATATTAAATTATAATGTATGTCTACCACTCTCTATTATCTCCATAATTATCACTACTCTAATACTTATGGAGTTATGATTGTAACTCCATAACCTCTTCATGATCTTCCTCCATGATCTCA